GAAGAAACATGTGATAGAGGATGTTCAGGCCTCTTTCACAATCCGTCTGTTGCATGACCTGTATCTGGAACAATCTTTAGCAAGAGTTAATAAACGATGAATCACACATTATACAACATAATAATTCATTAGTACACAACCCATGAAACACAAACGGAGTATAAATAAAATAGTTCTAACATGCAACAAACCCTTTGCTTTAAATAAAACAGCAAAGATAGTTTATTTATTCCCCTACTCTAATTATTACACATTCAATGTGGACCTAAGAAAGAAAGTACTTGTTTTCAGTGCAGCTGGTCCCTCACTGTGTTGCTATCATAGGCCATTATAACTGCCATCACAATGCAGTATACCTACATTTCTATTTGTTTCAGTGCTAAAGTCAAAGTAACAATCTCAATTTGGCAACTAATTAAGTTAAACGTCCAAAACATATTTTTATATACGCGTGTTTCTCTTTATATGCACATTTATATTAAACTAGTCATAAATGGGGTCAAGATTTAGTCAAAGCAAAATCTCATTCCCACTGTCAGCAAAGTATTTATTTTATTAAAGTGAAGGAGCAGATATTAGAATATTATCTTTTGTTCCAGATTAATCTAGGTCTTTGTTTACTCATGCAAATCCAATCAGAAGGACCTGAGGTGTCAGCAATCCCCCGCTGTTACCTGACACACTTGCAGAACCTTACAGAAGCAACACAAGAACCTACAGCAATATGTCCATGTGAGGTTTCCTTTTTAAGACCCATAGAGAATATGGAAACAATTGTTTTGAACAAACTCATGACATTTTTGGCTAATTTGCATTTGTTTCAGTGTTAGTGTTTTGTTTTCTCTGCTGCATTAATGCTCGTCATCACTACAAAAACAATGACTGTTTTGGCTACAGCTTTAACAGCTTTTTTTGAAGCAATGTGAACGGAAGTTGGATCTGAAACTCAGAACTGGTGAACCGGAACTGGAAAGTCTGAAGGGGAGATCACACAGATCAGTTCAGGGACCGTGGGAAATGAGACTGCGGCTTGAATTATGCTGGACACGGACTCACGTTTGAGGGGGATCTTGTCAATCCTTGAATCCAGTCTGTTTATCCAGAGAAGAGGGAACTCGTTGGAGAGCGGACAGGTAGACATGCGTTGGACCCAGAGGAGTAATGGAGCGGACTGTCACTTGGATTTCCAATGGTAACTTGAACGGATTATTTTGAGGTTTTCCCCTGCTCAGTGTATTCTCAGTGATTCCTTCCAGGGGGAGAAGGTCCAGGCAAACAGTTTTCATAGGAAGGCTTCCTGTTGAAGAGCAAAGACACATAAAACTCAGAGAAACAAGGCTAGGTTGGACTCTGCTAATCTCAGCTAGGCTAGAGTACCCAAAACTAGCAAACACTCTGGCGTTGAGGTAGTGACAGCCCACAGCTCAAATACTCCTCCAGTAATGAACCAACGAGCTGCAGGTGTGCAGAGAGGCCCAACGAGGACAGGGCACCACCTGGTGGTGAAGAGAGAAGAAACACACAAACAACCCACACAATCTGGATTCCTAACAGGTTTAAATATTTGCTTTGTCTTGAATATAAAAAAGAACAAGGAAAACAAAGAATGACAAATATTTTGAGAATATAACTAAACAATCTTTGAGAGCATATAAGTACCTGGAGACAACCTGCAAACCTGGAGGGAAGCTGCAAACTTGATGCAGAAAGACCGTAGGGCAGGAATCGAACCCAGGACTTTCTTCCTGCAAGGAAACAGTGCTAAAAACTGCACCGCCATGCAGCCCATTAATTAAATCAGCTTGTTTTAATTAATGTTTATGATGTAAGAGATGTATTTTATAAACCATTTTACTGACATGTTATGTCACATTTTGCTATATTCTGAACTAACTACCTGTAATTGTAACATAAATAGTTTTAAAATTAGATAATTTTGTAAATAATTGACCCCATTATGTTCTATTTAAAAATTCAGAATTACTATTTATTGTTGGAACAAAAAGATCATCTTTTTTAAAGACAATACACATTAAAGTATTTGGTTTGTTTAAATATAGAGATATTCTTGTATTGAGAATGTTTTAGCTTGATCAAGTATTAATAATTATATATTTTTTTCCTTTATTTTATCAGAGTTTAAATGCTCACAGACTATCCAATGTTTAAAGCTCATTAATGGGGGATGCCTAATGATGGACTAGCTGTCCAATAGTTCTATGGAATGCACTGAGTGACCAATAGGCTTTGGTGTTGAGCTGCTGCTGCTTGCTGATTGGTGGAAGGAGCTGCTGCCTCCTCTCTACAGACGCTTCTCCTTTGGTCAAGGTTGCACTTGCGGCTGCATCAGGACGCGTCCGGAGCGCATTTACGCACCCAGAGCAGCCTGATCAGTAGAAGCTCCGCTCTGTTTCACTCCACTCAGGATCCGCATCTACAGATAATCAGCAATGGACGAGATGGAGGAAGAGTTGAAATGCCCAGTCTGTGGCTCTTTTTACCGGGAGCCCATCATACTGCCTTGCTCCCACAACATTTGCCTGGCTTGTGCGCGGAATATTCTTGTGCAGACCCCCGAAGCTGAGTCCCCACAGAGCAGCCGAGCCTCCGGATCCGGGGTCTCAGATTATGATTACCTGGATTTGGATAAAATGAGTTTGTACAGCGAGGCTGACAGCGGCTACGGTTCCTATGGAGGGTTTGTGAGCGCTCCCACCACCCCCTGCCAAAAATCTCCTAACGGGGTCCGAGTTTTCCCCCCGACTGTCCCCCAGTCTGCTCCGCAGCAGCACCTTCTCCCGCATCCGGCCTCCCTACCCCCGATCCCCCGCAACTCCTGCATCACATGCCCGCAGTGCCACCGCAGCCTGATCCTGGATGACCGGGGTCTCCGAGGGTTCCCCAAGAACCGGGTGCTGGAAGGTGTGGTGGACCGGTACCAGCAGAGCAAAGCGGCCGCCCTCAAATGCCAGCTCTGCGAGAGGAGCCCCAAAGAGGCCACGGTGATGTGCGAACAGTGCGACGTTTTCTACTGCGACCCGTGCCGCATGCGCTGCCACCCGCCCCGCGGTCCCCTGGCCAAGCATCGCCTGGTGCCCCCCGCGCAAGGCCGGATCAGCCGTCGCGCCAGTCCCCGCAAGATCTCCACCTGCACGGAGCACGAACTGGAGAACCTCAGCATGTACTGCGTTCAGTGCAAGATGCCTGTTTGTTATCAGTGCTTGGAGGAGGGGAAACACGGAACACATGAAGTGAAAGCTCTGGGCGCAATGTGGAAACTGCACAAGGTATGTGCGCAGAAATGATCTCAGCAACAAGTCTGAGCAAACAGGTTAGAAATCTGATAGAAAAATCATCAATGATCTGTCTTCTTTATGGAGGGGCCCCCAGGGGCCCTAAATGAAAGCTATAAACACCAATCATGTTTGTTTTTTGTGTGATATGGCTCTTTGACCTGGGTGCTAAGGTCTGGGGGGGGGGGGCGGTTGGGGTGCAGCACAAGAAGGTTTGGGATTTATTATGCAAATAATGTTCAATATACAAAAAATATTCTTTCATGTAGTTCAACTAAGTTTTCATTACTCAATGTGTGAAATGCTGAAAGAATATATATATATATATATATATATATATACAGCTGAAGTCTTCTTATTTAACAGGATTATTATAAAGGGTTATTGCACAGGGTATTAAGTGGGTATTTATATAGATATATGTATTTATATATAGTTATTGCACTGGGTATCTGATATAAAAACAGGTTTAAAAATGTGTTTTGGTCTGGAGTATATCATAGTTTAAAAAAAAAGAAAGACAGTGGATTTTAAGAGATGTTTTTATTTACATATTTAGAAAAAAAAAAGGTAAATGAAAGTAATTGTATTCTTCTCAATATTTACCAAGCAAATCTATGCAGAGCAGTGAACAATAATCAAAATGATGATGCATGTATTTTAGTTACTTATGGTGAACAGATCCAAGTCTCCCTAATCTTCCCCTCCCTGCACAGATTCAAGCCAGGACTAATATCTGAGGCTCTCTAAAACCACCCGGGGTGTGATAAATTTTAGTTTTAATATCAAGGAAAACTCCCCCCTAAAAATCAGCAGCTGGAACCATGGAGCTAATCTCATGCATGGAGTTTCCTGATCGTCCACTTTGACGTCCAACAGTTTGCCATCCAGATCACCGAGCATAGTCAGTGTTGGAGGAGAGGATGTGAGGCACAGATGCAGCTCATTGACGTAGATAAAAGGATGTTATTTTATTTTTTTATTGCTTGTTTTCGTCAGTCGTACACCACGTTTCTGCTGTCAGATTTATCTACGCCTCTGCACCAGCCACCCCTCACCTCTGCCTTTCACTTCACCGTGAAGAAAGCAATGAAGAGCCGAACACTCAGAAAACACTGCAAACTCCCACCCACACTGACTCAGACTGTAATGTGTGTTAGTTTACCGGAGAAACCAGCAAAATGGACACAAATCGATGCCTACTTGTTTGAATGCTGTTCTCTTCGCTTATACTCGAATCAGGACTCCTATATCTCCAAATCATGAGCCTCTAACCAGCCTCTATTCCCATCATCTACTCTAGATGGATCTGAGATGGAGAGTCATTTTAAAGCTAATGGGAAAGTCATGGGAGGTTAAAACATCTTTCTTATGTTGAATTCCATTCTATGAAAAGATGCTGACCCGTGTGCCCTTTGTTTTATGGATTTAAAATATGGCAGATTATTTTTAGAAACAAATCAATAGTAGCAGGGATATAGGAGCCAATATCCATGCAGGTCGTGCAGTTTTTGGCCTCCATCTGAAGCAGCTGGGTATCTCTGACCAGCTGAAGCAAGAGCCCACTGAGCTGTAACAGATGGTTCAGAGTCTGATATGGAGAAGGGTCACAAAAAAGCTTTAAGTACTTCCTCACAATCCTGATTAATGTTAAAACTTCTAGTTTAATCTAAGTTTCAATCTAAACCTTGTTTCTTGTTTTGACACATTTACACTCAGTATGGTAAGATATTTTGACCACTTGGGGGCATAATAGAGTCGTTTTATTATTAAAGGGGGAAAAAATACATGAAAACAAAAAATAAGACATTTATGTGAGGAGAGAGAAGTGGAAGAAAATGTCGCTGAATTAAATTATTCATCTTGCTTTCAACTAGATGAAAGATGCAACACCATGGCAGTGGTCTTCAAAGATAACTTCTATAAACAATCATTCTGCTAAGAAGAGGAACTTATATTTTGAAGTGATCATCTTCTGCAGGCTTTGGAAAACAAATCTCATGTGATGAGGAGAATCAGAATTTAAAAACGCTCCTTACATGCTTTGAGAAATAAAGCGTTTTTTCCAGGTTCTGTTGTGTCGCATGTAGCTATAGACTGGACCTCTAGAATCTCATGAATGATCATTTTCTTTCTGTGCCACAGTGGATGACTGAATCTGTTCAGATATTTCTATATTGACACGAATAATGATATAAATTGTTGTCTGGTTGGTTATAAAGTTTGAATTAGGCATTCCAGATTTAGATGAGTAAAAAACAACAGATAATGCGAAATAATTGCATTTTCAGATTTTTCTCCCAATTTTTTAAATTTAAGTTCTTCATCCATCCATCCATCCATCCATCCATCCATCCATCCATCCATCC